TTTACTTACGTGTGTGTGTGTGTGTGTGTGTGTGTGTGTGTGTGTGTGTGTGTGTGTGTGTGTGTGTGTGTGTGTTCACAGGATAAAATTAAAACCCTGGAGATCGAGCTGGATGAGGAGAAGAGTAATGTGGAGCTTTTGAACGATCGCATTAGCAGAAGCCGAGATCAGGTGCGACATACATTTGAATACACATGCAAATAAGCAGGAGACATTTCACTGTAATATATATTTAGTAACTTAACCTGCTCACTTTATCTACATATGATTATGGGGGTTTTTTCTCAGGTTGACCAGCTTCGTTCAGAGCTCATGCAAGAGCGTTCAGCCAGACATGACCTGGAAATGGACAAGAGTGCACTGGAGAGACAGGTGCGCACGTACACATATCTTTAAAATGGCTTCTTACAAAATGTGTGGCTTGCTAGTTGTCACACTGTCACTCTGCTTGCAGATGAAGGAACTAAAGTCCCGTGTGGCAGACATGGAGGGACAGCCACGACCCTCGGCTGGAATCACACTTCTAGAAACCAAAATTCAAGAGTTAGAGGAGAAACTACACAGTGAAGAAAGGTATGACTAAACAGGTCATTTTTGAGCACTATTAATTACATTCACTATGCAATCACTACAACACTTGGGAAGAAGAATAAATGTTTTTAACTGCCAATGCATACAGAATAAAAATTTCAAAATGTCAAAGAATGACGTGGTTCATTCTGAATTTCCACATGCAGAGAGAAGGCCACGATCCAGGCTTCTCAGAGGCGGACGGAGAGAAAGCTGAAGGAGCTAAACGCCACATTAGACCAGGAGAGGAGCCAGCACGTTGAGCAGAGAGATCAGGTAAATATGAGGATTTGCATGCTCATTGGCTAGTGTTTGCTTTAAAAACTCAAACAGGATATAACCATTTAAAGAAACAGATTCCCATTTTGGGTTTTTTGCTAAAGGTTGCATGAGAAGATGAGATTTAACCACCTAAAATGAGTTTAACGGTGGTTAGTTTAGCAGAAGGAGCTGATACCAAACCACCTGTGACTTTTTTCCACACTTCAAGTTTTGATTTTAATAAATAAACAGGAAATTGAACAGTATGTTAATCAGAGACCGTTTAAGATCTGTTAGTGGGGATTTTATGACTTTCTAGCTAGTTATTTTCCAACTTATAGTCTCTAAGTCAATTCCACTTAATTCCATCCTGTATATGTAAGCGCTCACCAAACCTTACAAATAATTTAAAAATATTAAACTTTTTGAGTTTTCTTGTGTGAAATGTACTTTTTAAGTTTTCAAACTCTGACTTTGTACTATTTTACCAACTTAATAACTGTGTAAGAATTATCCAGAGATAACGTTTGAAATATGCCTTCTGCTTAACCGCTGCTTCAGTTTAAACAGTATTTAATTGCTTCCTTACATCATCACTAATCTCATCTGCACACCTCCCGACCCAAACCCAACCTCACTCGGGTGCTAAAATGCTCCCTGACCTCCCGTCTGTCATCCCACCTATATGTTACCTCAGCCTTCATAGCTGTTGTCACTCCCTTACGAACCCACACATCCAGTGATGCTGATGCCTTTAACCCCCAGCACTACTCCTTCCTTGCATCACCTCCTCTGTCCCCCTCTAACCCCCGTCCTCTCCCTCTCCATCCCCAGTTGACGCTGCGCGTGAAAGCCTTGAAGCGTCAAGTCGACGAGAGCGAGTTAGAGGTGGAGCGCTTGGAGGGAGTCCGCCGTAAAGTTCTCAGGGACTTGGAAGAGCAGCGGGAGCTGCAGGAAGCACTGCATGCCAAAGTGACAACGCTGGAGAGTGAATTAAAGTAGGCCTTCTCCTTCGTCACTATGAAATAATGTGGATTTCTACATGACTCGTGTGTATAAATGCTCTTTGCACTAGGTGGCACTGTGTAGTAACCAGCTGAACAGTTAGTCAGTCTGAATGGATTTTCTGTTGCTTTCTTTCTCTCAGGCGGAAGTCGCAGCAGACACATCGCTCGACTCTGTCCTCCTCTGCTTTAAGCTCTGAGGACGAGGACGGTTTCTATGACAGCAAAATCTCCTCTGAATGAGAGTCCTGAACAAGAGCGACCCACACACCTCCAACTGCTAAATGACAGTGACTACTAGTATGACAAGACCACAAAACTTTTTTAATCTTGAGCATAAACACATTTTCTTGTATGAGGTTCCACTTTTGCCAAAGTTATGTTTCCCTTGTGTCTTTTCAACTTTAAGCTTTAAACCTGCTGTGTTGCTGAGCTTTCCAACACTGTGCAGAAAGATTATCTGAAATGTAGCCAGCACATTCTCAAAATGTCAACAAACCACTGAAGCTGCGTCTGAAACCAAATCCAGAACACAGCTTGTGTAACTGGAGTTTTGCCATCAGTGGGTCATTTGTCGGCTGTCAAACGACGGCGAGATGACAGCAACGCAAAAGGACGACATAACAAAACAAAAGGGAGCACGACAAGTCAGAACAGCATCAAACAACAGCGGTCAAACAGCAAGATGTTTGAATTGAAACGGCGTGACGTGACCATAATTTTGGCACATAACGAGCCTCGTATGTGCACAGAAATGTATTCAAGTCCTCAGTTTTGTGAAGTCATTTGCGCCTCTCAGTTGGTTTTATTTTCAGTTCGGCGGTCCAGTCCAGAGGCGGGCGGTCGTGATCATTACACTGCATTTTTGAGCCTTCCGATGTGATTACGATCACGCCAGTGCTGCCACATTTTATCATTCTCGATCTTTCGTTTCTCTTTTACATTGAGAAGAATTTACAACTGCTGCAGATTTCTACTTACTGTGCTTCAGCTTGTGTTCTCAAGAAACTTCTTTACTGTGTTTCTACAATAATTACTGTTTATTACAGCGCTAGTATCTGACATTGTGGTACTGTTTATGTTCCCGTCGTACGGTAGATGTGCAGTTTCATATCACAAACCAAGAAACAAAAAGGCTTCGTTTGCTTCTGCATGTTAAGTTATTTCTTGTCAGTGTTTGAAGCTCTTAGTGTTTCTTTGTGTATCCAAAGTGATGTAATGTTTAGTTTTTTTGTTTTACTTTGAATGTGACTATTACAGGCAACTTAATCTGAGTCTTCATTTTTACACTGGATAGCCGAGCATACCTGAAGACAATCAAGTACACATACAGCACTTTGTAGCTTCAAAGATTAAACTTTTCCCCGTGATGCTTTTTTACTCCACCCATCGTATTTCTCATGCGGTTTCATGTGCATGTCTTCACTCAGATGCCTTAAAAACGAGACCCATATTTTTATTTTAATTGCCGCATGTGTTCTGTTTATAAGCTGCTGCTGTAATGATTTAAATAGTATTTTATATGCTTGCCTTTGCTTGCGTCTTCCTCTTTTCGTCCCCTGTTGGAAGAGAAGCAGATTTCCTACTCTTTTTTTTGCACCAGGTTGTCCTAAATGTTGCTTTTAGTCTCCTAAAAATATTTTATTGGAGTTGTTTATAACACGTTAAACATGTTACGTTTGTGACACATTTGTTTATACTGGGGTAATTCAGTAACAATGGTGTTAAAGTTAAGATGAGTTTATTAAGCTGACATATGGCACAAAACTTTGTAAGGTTCCCAACATTTTGTGTACAATAAAATAAAGAATATGAACCTTGCTGCTTTTATTTCATAATGGAAATCTTATACAGTCTACCTATGTTTCCATATTTTTACTGCAATGATTTCAAAAGCCTGTAAACTGTAAAACAGGTAAAATGTTAAAAGAAAAGATACCAGAGGCATTTTAAATATTTATTACAGACATTAGGAAGATGCAGAAAATAAGTCGGAGAAACATGCTAGAAAGATTTGTATTCAAATTGTAATTTGGGACAATGTGTTTGAGAGTTAAAAGATATGGCATAGCCTTTTTAAGTGGTAAAACAATAATTAGGTGCTCATAGACTTCCTGCTATCATTCCCCTTAGTCCTTTGGTTCTGCATAAGCTCTGATGAAGAGGAAATACAGACTTTATCTTGTTTTTTCGAAAATAGTATCAGGTGGACATCATCCAGAAATACTCTGTGTAGCATAAATTATTCTTGTCATGAAACGCTGTGTGGCAGGCAGGAGATGAGGACTTAAAGTGCAGGACTCAGACTCAGGGGATGAACTCAAAATCACAGCTTTATTTGCTGGTCACAGAAAAACGAGCATACAAAGTAAACTAAGCTAAACTGGGACACAAAGACCTAAAACTCACAGGGAGATCCACACAGCAAGAGGGACGACGCAACACTGACTCAGAGAAACACAGGGTTTAAATACACTGGGAAGTAACGAGGGGAATGAGACACAGAAGGAGAGCACAGCTGGGAGAAATCAGAACTGAGGAGACAAGGGAGCAAAGTAGGATACACTCACATGAGACACAGACCTTCAAAGTAAAACAGGAAGACGCAAATTAGACTAGGGGAGACAGCAACTAAGAAACACAGACAATACCAACAACAAAGAGACACAGAGGGCAGCTACTAAATACTCAGAGAACTAAACAGAATACAAGAAAACCAAACTAAGACACTACACTAACGAATAAGCTGGGACAACAAAGAGAACTAAGAACATAATACAAAAAACTCAGAGGCACAAGAAACTCAAAACACTGTGGTCACTGACCCAGGACCGTGACAATTCTTTGTGATACCATCACCAAGGAACAGGGAAATATAAATATAAAAACTACCAGAAGATATTTTGAGTGATCAGGCTGCTGAGGCCTGATAATATTCTAGGATTTACAAAAACAACAAAAAACGAGTGAAACATCATAAATGGAGATACAGCATATAAGGCAAATACAAGAAAGCTGCCTAATAGAGTTCCAGCTGTGTTGAAGAATATCGGTGGCCATACCAATGATTGACTTTCAAGCTCTTTGGAATTGTACAGACCCTGTAATTGCTTTAAATAGTCTGTGGGAATATTTCTCCAGACTTCTTGAAGGACATTCAAAGCTCTTCTTTGGATGTTGGCTGCTTAGACCAGTTATTGGCAATTATGCTTGTTATTTTTTGTCGTTGCTCATTTTTTTCTTCAGCCGCCCTTCTTCTGCTGCGATTTTTTTTTTTTCTTCTTCAGCCGGTAGATGGATCAACTGAAGGCCCAGATGTATTTCTTAGATTCTGTGTCAGGTCTTTGCTTTTCCTATTTCAAGATATGACTGATACTGTTCATCTGCTGTAGATATTTTTTAGGCGTGCGGCGCTGTCTTTTGTCCCCTGCTTTCCAATTTCTTCATGCTTTTAAGGACACACTGCACACAATGCAGAGATATACCAAGGTTTTACCTAACAGCTGTTTGGGAATGACCTTGAAAAATCCAATGAGATATAACATGAGAAACAGAGATGATTCTCATTCTGACTTTTGCACAGTACTCCATATGAATATATTAGTACATCTTCAGTCCTTTAGCATTAGAAACCTCATAATACAAATTTACATTTTTTATATGCTATAGTTTCTGCTGTGCTGTGTGAGGCATACTAAAGCAAGGCTTTATTGTGATTTATATCTGTCATTTCCTCCTGAAAGGAAGTCGAGAGTTAAGGAGACACCAGCACACTACTCACACTAGTAAACCATATTTATGAAAGCTGGCTGGTTGGTACCAGACTGCACTAAATGCTATTAATGTTTCATTGTTTAAACCAAACTAAGAAGCAGTGTGGACAGTTCTTCATACCCGTGTGTGCTGCATATGGGAGGAGTTAACTTCCCTACCAATAAAATGTTCCTCATTACAAGAGAGCCACAAAATTAACCAGTTATGTAAATGTATATACAGTATCAAACATGGTAATGATGCTTATAAATTAGGATGAATTGTTTGTAAGAGACTTGGCTTGTTTGCTTGTTTTCATTGTATCAGGTATCAGTGAAACCTCGGGAAAAGTTCAAAACTTTGTCCAGTACAGCGGTAAAGGAAACACGAATTTAAATGTAAATATTTCAGGTTCAAAGGCACAGGCAGAGACTCACAGGTGAAGTAATGTTATTCTGGAACTTTGCACTTACAACGGAAACAAGAATACAAGATCAAGGCTTGCCGCTGGCCCGCTGTTCTCTCTGCAAAGCAGGTTTTAGATCACTTCCTCTTCCTCCCCAGTGAAGCAGGCGTGATGTTTACTATCAATGGGGGATCAAAACATTCCCTCACTAACAATTACAGAATAAAAGTGGATGAACTGGCTTGTACAGGACACCTCAGCCTGTTCTCACTCCCGAGGCGTAATATACTGACGATTTGTCAAGTCCGGAGGAGTTCCTGTGGAACGCATGGGTTACGGATGAAATCCAGCAGAATGAGCTCCCGCGGTAATACTCAAGTGTTTTCTGATTTAAGTAAAACGAACATACATATGTAGATTCATTCCAAACGGTTCTCCTGTTTCCTCATTTTCCCGATCTCCTAATATAGGGATGTGTTGGGTGCCTGGAAGCGTAACACATACGCTTTGGATAAGAGTGAGAACATGTTGGACACCTATATCCAACAAGTTTTCATCTTCATAACTCAGTGAATCATTTTTGTGACAATTATAAATATTAACAACATTCTTTTAAACGATGTGCAGGTGGCGCTGAGGGGCCCAAAGTGTGCAAAAAGTATATACCTACGGAATTACACAATGACTACCATCGTCTTGCAGCCGAAATCAAGACCAGCAAATGCTTTGGTGGGCCTGTGTTAAGTGTAGTCTCAGTTTCCTGTTCTTAGCTAACAGGAGGGGCACCCGGTGTGGTCTTCTGCTGCTGTAGACCATCTGCTCTTCAGAAATGCTCTTCTGCATACCTTAGTTGTAACAAGTGGTATTTGTGTTACTGCCTTCATATCAGGTTGAAGCAGCCTGGCCATTCTCCCATGACCTCTGGCATCAAAGACATTTTCACCCAGAGAACTAACTCCAGCTCACTCAGTGTTTTCTCTTTTTCTGAACATTCAGTGAAAACTCCAGAAAGGGTTGTGTGTGAAAATCCCAGTAGATCAGCAAGTTCTAAGATACTGAGGTGAGCCAGCAAGCCCAGCTGGCAGCAACAATCATGCCAAGTCATTTAAATCACCTTTCTTCCTCATTCTGATGCTGGCTTTGAACTTCAGCGGGTCGTCTTAGCCATATCTACGTGTCTAAATGCACCGAGTTGCTGCCATGTGGTTGGCTAATTAGATATTTGTGTTAAACAAAAGTTGAACAGGTGTACCTAATGAGGTGGCCGGTGAGTGTAGAAGTCAGGGAGTTTGAGAGAACATTCGCGTTCTTGTTTAAACTTGAGGGGGTGATTATTTCACAAGAAGAAACTAATTATTTTCCAAATCAAACTTGTTTAAAATCATAAATGACTCTGGAGAATAAGTGCTATGAAGTTGAGATCATAATCCACTATCAAATGTCAAGTATCAGTGTCTTCCCCTGAAGATATTAAATGATATTCTCTCTCTTCTCTGAATAGCTCAGCTGAGTCTTTCTTTTAGCTCTGGCTAAGTTTTCTTCCTAGAGACTCTCAGCCTGTAATCCTAAGGTGGTTTACTGTAATTACCAAAGACATCAAGCTGTTCCAGTGACTCCACTTCTTTAAACGTCTGTGTCGTTCCCCTTAGTGAAGAAAGGCAGGCTTAGTTTTTCCATTTTTTTTTTTTGTTTTGTAAATGTACTATCCACAAATTAGAACCAGTGAAGCTGACTGGATGCACTTAATGATAGAGCCTTTGTCTGAACGCTTAAGTGTAAATAAATTACGCAACTGCACATCATATAATTTTCTGCATTTAAAATAGGAGTGGCATGAAAATAGATCAGCGAGCTGCGAGAAAGTAAGAGGCATCGTTTACGAGCGCTGGTTGTAATTATATGGAGCGCTTCTCCTCATCTAAGTACATAACATCAAAGGAATTTATAGTACCAGTGAGAACATGTAAAACACAAAGCAGTCCAAATATACATGTGAGCTCAACGCAAGAGCTGAGCATATATTACTCACCCCTGTCTAAAGTCCTAACCAGAGTTATTTTACAGTGAGATCACCCACGTGTGACATGACCACAACTTCCATTATAGTCAAGCCTTTCAGTGTGGGAGAAAAAGAGGCTTTAAAATAATCTACACACTTTATAGTGCACAGTGTACAAAGGTAGCAAAGAATAACAAAAGCATTTATGCATGAAAGCCAGTGCGTGTTTGTCGTGGGCTGAACCTTTCCAAAGAAGCTGCCTTTGGAATTTTCATCAGAAGTCTGTTTACTTCCAGGAGCTCCTCTCACCAAGCCGCCGTTCTATATTTACAACGGCCTTCATTGTATGTCATTCATGTGGACAAAGTGGTTACTTTTATGCAGGTGTCATGGAGCAAACAAGCGTGAATGACAAATAATGTAACAGTGGTGTCTGAAGCCAGGATGCGAAACAGCAACTGGAGCGGAAGGACATTGTAGGAAAATAATAATGTGGGATTACATGGTTTAATCTCCAGTTTAGTTTGTCTATAAAGTAAAGTCATTTCCCTTAATCCCACACCTTCCTGGGCGCAAGTGACAACAGGAAAATAGAGCCTCTGATAGCTTTAGGTAAGAGGTCATATGGCGGGATGTTTTATATGAATTTATGATCACCTAAGTTAGAGTGTTAGTGAATTGTTACATGTTCTGTTTGATCCAGGGCTCTCATATTGTAGATGCTAAGTAGAAAACTTATCTGGGCTGATGTTTTAGTCCTGGTGTCAAAATAAAAGTTTCAAAGCCTTTCTCACTAAATGTAAAAGAGATTGAATAAAACATAATTACAGCAAATGAACATAAAATGCAGTTACAGCAGTTTTCCTGTAAATCCAATTACAGCGGGATATATTTGCTGTTACTCAACCTGTTTACAGTGTAGGCCTCAAGAGAGGTGGCTCCTTGCAGGGCAGGACGGTTATTAAACAGGACTATATCCTCTTTGCAGGTCTAGCACAGAATTAGCTGCGGTGTAGAAGAAGCAGATCCTGCACTTTCAGCACTGTTGTGTTACTGGGACATATTACAGGGAAGTGCAAGAGAAACATTTTTGACAAGACAGATGAAGAGAGACGGCGTATGGGCTCCTTCTGGAAGAAGATCAGACAGGGGGCTGGACACAAAATGCCATGGTCCAGGAGAAGTGCCACCAAATACCTGTCCGATGGAGGTGGCATCAACTTCTCAGAGGTTAGACAATATTTAAATAAAATGTGCTCGAAAGCAAAGAAGCCATCACCATGACCTTATTTATTTAATTGCGTGAATTTTCCATATAATTCTGTTGCACAAGAACGTAAAACGTTCAGTTCAACGGAATCCGGTTAAATTACATGTAATTAATTGGTATACATTCAGTTTGTACCAAGCATGTGCTCTTTATTGCTTAATCATATGAGTAAATAAAACTTTTATTTTATATATTTACATATATTTCAGTTTTTTTTATTTTATTTAACCTTTATTTATACATGTAATCCCATTGTTTCTATATAAAAGAGACTAACTAAACTAACTAAATGAAAATCGCGAAAATTGTTTACACAATATTAAAACGGAAAAATTCAGATGCATTTTACTCATATTTATTTCTTCATGTTTATAAGGGTAAATAATGATTTTTTACATTGTGGCAAATAAGACATAGCCATTCATTTATATTCATTCATTCAGCATGAGTAACAACCTTGTATTCATTCATCAATAATCCATTATAAGACAAGAAACCTTAATGATTGCTTGCCTTGAAAGAGAAATGTGTTAAATAGCATATAGGTCGAGTAGAGTTAAGATACTCGTCATCATATCCACTATTATTATTATGGGAAGAAGAAGAATATCCCATGTCTAATAGGAAAAGCACTGAAATATGAGTAAGTATACAGACAGCTTTAAGCCCAAAATAAAAATGGTTGGAAAATATGTCAGCAATTGTAAATATGGGCTACACCGTGGTTCAGTGCATTCCACTTGCATAAGGTAGGCAGGTCTGCTTTACTTTAGCACCTGGACAGTCAGACAGACGGCAGAGGGAGGCAGAAGCGCAGCGGGGTCCAGGTCTCTCCCCGGGTGTGTGTCATATTTAACAGTTACTCGCGAAGAGTAGAGTCTGTAAAAACACAGTACTCAAAGAAACCTTGTCCAGTAACTTTGGACAGCTCTGATTTTTCACTTATTTTTATGTGTTGTCGACACTTCCCGACGAGAAGATGAGCGGCGGCGTGACGCGGGCGGTGGAAAAGGGAGAAGAGGACGACGAAACTAAAGTGAGTGATGCTGTGTGACACTAGCTTAAAAGCACTAACTACTAAGTTTAGCGTTGCACTCACCTGGATTTCATACTGGGCACATTTTGGTCCACAATGACATAGGCTAGTTCCCATTAGACTTCCCAATTTTTAAGAGCAGTTTTTCATATGAAAGCGAAACTTTTACCCGCAAATAAGAATAATAATAATAACCTCACATGAACTATGTAAAATAATGTGACGTTAAAGCAAAAATCTATTCTTCCTCATCCTTGTTCACCATATTTGCATCATGTTTCCTTTGCTGAACACAACGCAGACTGTTTTTATAAAGATGGCAAATCTAACATCACTTAAGATGAGATTTAGGATCCTTGGACTGATATCCTGATATTTCTCTAACAGTGTGGGGACATAATCATGAACATTTTTAGTAATACTAAAAATAAAAATTTGAGTAAACGCTTCTACTCACCTTAGACCGCCAACACTGTTAATTATAAGCTACGACTATTTAACTAATGACTCTTATTTTAAATAAATAAATAACTCACCTGTGCTGAGGTACTCAATATATGATGCAGCGTTAACTTTTCTTGTTGTTTACTTAAAAAGTGGAATAATGGCAAAAGATGTGGGCTGACCCACCAATGCTGAAGTCACTTCAATCAAGGGACTCTGAAGCGCTCACTAATTTTTTAATGTTTTAAACTTTCAGGGCCTTAGAGATTAGTTATTCATACCTCACAAGGCCATCAAACGACAATAGTGTAGATCAGGGGTGGGCAATTCATTTCCCCAATGAGCTGCGTGAAAAACTATTTAACTGGTGAAATTAACCAATATTCATTTCATCTCTTTATAAGCTTCTTAAGGAAATTAATTACCCACCTTTGGACTAAAAACTTGCTGCTGTATCCTATAGAAGCTGCAGAAAGAAATTTGACTACTATAAATAAACTATAAATAATGCTAACTGCAACACATATATTTTAAAGCAGAATTTAACAGCGCATATTTGGCAATCCAAACCAAAACTGTGATGCTGCACCTGCATCAACAACTTCTAAAGGCAGTATACTTCTGATGTCACATATGGCAATAATCCTGTTGTATAAGAAATTAAAATCTAAGCAATAAAAGCATTTAAAGTAATTCCAAATGTTCTGTGATTTCAAAGGATAAAAACACCTCAAGCAAGTCCAGCCACTGTATTACAATGCTTCTTTATTAATAACTTCACCTGCACAGAAAAATAAGCACTACCATTGTAGATACACCAAGATTGCTCTCATGGGCTCAGGAAGTGGAACAGATTCTCGTCCAATCAGAAGCTGGTTCGATCCTTGGCTGCTCCAGTCTCCAGTCTTTCTCAAACTGCGTTGCGTGTGTGTGTATGATGTTTACATAGAAAGCACTTACATGTATAAAGAAGTGCTTTTGGGAATGCTTAGAGTGATCAAGTAGAGAAGGGAAGTGCTACACATGAACCTTAACCTTGACCATATACAATAAACTTTTTAAGAATGAACTGATGTGTTCACACAAGGGAAACGTAAACGCTATCAACTCATTAAACACCAGTGAACAATTATAGCCTCTAGCCGTGTTTTGTTTTTGTTTTTTATTACACATACAGGAACTGTAATCTTTCGAGCCATTGTAGAAGGATGACAAAGCAGGTGACCGGACATTCAAGAAAGTCAAATTTACAGGGAACTCTGAGCGTTACAGCGCTCATTAAGAATGTGCCGGTACTTGTTGGTTTGGTAGTTCAGTAGAAATATGATCACTGGCAATCAAACAGTTTTTTTTCTTCCAACTGTCTTGCGCATTGTTTTCTTGAGATGCGTCCTTGTAGATACTAAAATGACAACTATTTATTGTGAATCTGCCAAGTAAAACATTAAACATTGCGTGATGCTGTCAAGATCGCGGTTAAATGAATTTACTGCTTTAGTCCAATGGTTTTATACGTGTCGAGTCATGTTGTGATGCCACATGTACTGCATGGTGGCAGCGCGAATGAACAGATAATTTGTTTATAAAGACTCTTGGCAGGAAGCAGATATCTTTCCCAACAAATGCACTCATGCTGTTCAAGCATTTCTCCCTCTACTGATAGATCTGGTGCAACAAATTCATATGTAGATGAGAACTGTTTGTGGTTTGGAGGGGATCTTGTTTGTGTGGACTGTTCTGAGATTGTTCTTGACTATAGTCTCAGCAGATGCATGCAGCTGAGAAGACAGCAGTGTTTTCACATTCAGTTAAGTAACCGGTGAAATAAATTGCTGAAAAAGTAAATAAAAGCAACCAAATTATTTCATTTTCTGAATCGCCTCTTCACAATCATGCCTGACAAGTAATACGATGTGTTTGTGCTGATATGTTGTGTTTAGTTTTCTCCAGATGTAGTGCTTTGCATTAGGGCCAGACATCTTAATTTTGGTCTCATCTGTCCAAAGGACATTGTTCCTGTCTGCGTTTTGTCCTGCCTCCTTATGTTCTCTATTCTTTTTCTTCTCTTCCTTCTTTTATCTTCTCTTCCTTACCTCAGACCCAAACCGGCTGTGTCAGATTGCTGCCTCTGTTGGAGATTTCTTCCTGTAAAAAGAGAGTTTTTCTTCCCGCAGTCATAAAGTGCATCTTCATATGGGGTTGCTGAGTTTTTCCCCAGAATGCAAAATCTTTACCTTACAACATAAAGCACCTTGAGTTGACTGTTCTTTCCCCCCCGACTTTTCAAAAAGAAAATCCACCAATATAGCCGATATTAGATTATTTTACATCATAAAAATGTATTTTAAGGCCACCTAATGTGAAAGAGTTACAGCTATGACTTTTTAGAATAGGTTTAGTGCCATCAGAAACAATTTAAGGCGGTTTATTGTAGTTTTATAGCTAGAAGTAAAAGTGCAATGTTAGTTTTTTGTCTCAAAAATCTTCCCAGTTTTCTTATTCAGAGATCCTGAGACCCACAGGTGTCGAACTCCAGGCCTCGAGGGCCGGTGTCCTGCAGGTTTTAGATGTGTCCGTGATCCAACACAGCTGCTTTAAAAGGCTAAATGACCTCCTCAACATGTCTTGAAGTTCTCCAGAGGCCTGGTAATGAACTAATATTTTGATTAAGGCGTGCTGACCCAGGGTGAGATCTAAAACCTGCAGGACACCGGCCCTCAAGGCTTGGAGTTTGACACCCCAGGATAAGAGCCTTTGGGTATATTGTATATTGTGTACTGTATATTGTATATATCAGGCAGAGAAAACATGTTTTTTTTTCACCTTAAACATGACCTCAAATAACCCATTTAAATACATTTAGAGGTTTATTTTGTATTAAGTAATGGTAATTGTAATTTAAGGGTAATTTTAGGGTCTCTTGTGTCATGTGTGTGAACATGATGTGAACAACAAGCGTGTTCTAGGTAAGGTTGTTATTAAAATACCTTAGCTGGATTCCAATGTGGTTTTCTTAGCTCCACGATGTACTTGGAGAGCAACATGGGTGAGATCGCATGCAAGTCTTTTGTTTGTATTACAAACACGTCTAAAGGTTATGTTGGCACTACTCGTACGTCAACAAAAACAACTGAATGACAATGACAGCAGGAAGACAGTGAACCGAGGTTAAAGCAGCACTCAGAGGTTAGTGAAAGAATATGGGGATTTTACATATGTTTGAACATATATCACTAAATCAGAGCACGTGTATATATGACTTTTCCCTATGTTAAACATGAGAAAAAATGCTTTGTTGATACTCTATAAAAGTAGAAACCCCATATTGTTTAAAATTGTGAAAATGGTCCTGCACAACTTTCCAAAGACTAAATATGTCAATTAATGATTTTGTACTGTCCAACAGGAAACCAGATGATTTAGATCATTAGTTTACTAACAAAAAATAACAAAGAAACCATAAAATAAGCATGTTTAAGAGTCCTTCTTAGACGGTCTGCTGTCTCCTCATTTGACAAAACAAATGATTAGTTGATTGTAAGTTGAACTGTCGCTTCATTATAAGCTTAAAATGGCCACGAAACACATGTTATGTAACAGAATATCAGGATTAAGATCACTTAGGAGATGTGCGTACTAAGTCAAAGATAGCTGGATAAACATGCACTAACGTGAACATATTTGGTCGGTGCAGCATTTGACTTTTGTTTGCATGGTTTTGTTTGCTCTGCACACACTCACCGTGCCAGTAACTCGTTATATAAAGATACTTCATTAATGTCTGTTATGTAACTCTTAACGCATTCCTCAGTGTGCTGCAAACTACCACTGTCACTATGTGGCAGATAAATGAGGTCATTCCTCGATCGTACATTAAGATACTAACAGATCAAAGAAATCATTAAATGCCCAAAATTAGCGTGACATTCATACCCATGATGAGTGTATGTAAAATTGTAATCACAACTGCTTCCCTTTGTCACATTTATCAACAAAAGATGTTAAAACAAAAGCTCAGTAGGTTCTTATGTTTAGACTCGAGCTGACCATTGTAATATTCGTTTAAATTCAACGCCAACAAAGTTTTTAGTCCACAGTTCTGTATAATCTAATCAGTGGAAATAGTCCCTCCAGTTTTTTCCATGCTGTATTTAACATCACAGTCCTGCAGGGAAGCTCTGAATTGCGTGCCTCCTTGAACTGGCGCTCTCGTTGTAGCTCTGACGGGAGAATAATCTGGAGGGGGGGAAAAGGGTTGGGCATCTGATGCAGCCTCGCCCAGCCATGTAAGGCAAGACAGCCGTGGCTTCCCATGTACTTAGTCACACAGATAGAGACAGTCTGGATCGCAGCTGCCTGATCATCCCCGGGAAAAGTCCCAGACAACTTTCTCAGCCCAGGTAGATGTAAGTGAGATTCTTTCTGAGATAAAGTGGCATGGTGATTATTATCATGGTGATTATTATGAGGGTAAAGTCTGTGATGGTTCTTGTGGTTGTAATATTTTGTTTTTGCATGGTGAAGTATAGAGCGGTGGTTGGCAGATGATTCATTTA